TTCACCAATAACTTAAAGGTGAAAGTTGATATAGGAAGCCAAATCCCCATCCAGTTCTGCAAGTGTTGATATAAGTAAATTAAAAAATGCATTCGTGAAAATTTGAGATAATTATTTAATGTAATTAATTTTCTATCCAGCTTGAAATTAAAGCGCTTACAGCTCTTTTATTTATTAACAGATTTTGATTTAGTTACTGTTAATTTTGGAGACAACAAGTTCAGCAGTCACGCAATGTAAAAATGCAATGTAAAAATGCACTAACATTTTCTAATTCTATGCAAGTCGTAGGTACATTTATCGCCAAGTAAGTAATCGGATTATTAATGATTTTGATGCCGGTAGTTTAGTGGATGATGGCTCGCCGCACAAAATAATGTCCAACTTGTACGTAAGGAATAGTTCGTAAAGAATAGTAAGTAAGGAATTGTCTCAGACAATATTCATTACATCTATACTAATATTATAAAGAGGAAAGATTTGTTTGTTTGTTTGTTTCGAATAGGCTCCGAAACTACTGGACCGATTTGAAAAATTCATTTTCCATTAGAAGCCGACATTGTCCCTGATGAACATAGGCTAACTTTTTTTTTTTTTTTCGTTTCATGTGTATTTTAATGTTTCCGAAGCGAAGCGAGGGCGGGTCGCTAGTCTTAGATATACATGTATTAACGAATAATACAATCACACAATACTGATAATTAATAAACTAGAACTGTATTTAAACATTTTAAAAACTTCTAGCAATTTTATGTCATGTTTTTAAAAAAAATTCAACATCAAAATGTCTGTACGCTGTTATAATCATGAACTTTATATTGATTATGAACAGAATGGAACGGAATTATTCCGACGAATATAATTAAATCTGAATTTACTACCGATTTATGCCGCGAAACAATTATGTTTCCCGTGTAACTGAGAATGAGTTGTGGATATGAACCGATTTTTGATGACAGTGGATCCAGTGGTTTCTAAAATCAAATCAAATAAAAATGAAAGCATAACTAATTAATTTAATTTCATTTAGTAACATTGTTAGTGAGACCGAAATCAAAAAGTTTCGAACAAAAAGCCCAGCTATTGTACAAAAGTTTGCAACGGAAAATACTAGCGTAACAGCTTGTGATTACAAAGATTAATAATCCTTGACCTCGCCGGTATTTTTTGACAAATTATCAAAACCGCTTCAAGGTTAAGAAGTTCGTTTGTGATCTTACGATTTAGCCTGCCTTCAAACGCAACGATACCACGGGTAGAGGACAATGACACGACCGGTGATTTGATTACACGCCGTGAGATAAGAAAACGATTTCATCTAATAGGTTACCCGAATCGGTACGCACCGAGTACTTTACAAACGGATGAGAACACGGGACAATTATTTAGGCATCCAATACTATAATGCCCGACGCAATTTAATTATATCGATGTAATCATTGCTCGTTTATTTCTTGCGGGATATTACGAATGGAGAGATTATTTGACGAGAACATTTCTTGCCATTCGTTGAGATATTCATTATATAATTATTTTCTATTTTACCTTTTCCTAATGTATTTTAGAAGCGACTATTGTTAGAAGCAGATTTTTTTAAAACACTTTCATTTGCGTTGCCTGTTTCTAATTTCTATCTATTTAACGGAATATTTAAAGTACATAATTTTACCAACTTCCTGACGGAAGTCCGATTATCTTGCGATTGCAACACATATGAAGGAATCAGGACGAAAAAAAACCCTTATTTTCATATTTAGCAGCATGTCATTAGTGCCCTAATAACAACCTAAAAATTTACCAAAAATGAATTTTAAAACAAAGTAATCGGATCTAAACCTATAATATCAGTATTAAAACCTCGCTTCATCCATTTTCCGTTTTAATATCAGACTATAATAATGACTGCTTCACGGTCCTTTGTTTTTTTCTTCAAAACAGTAACATCCTTACTACACTACATTTCCACCCCAACTAATCTTGTGATGTTTTATGCTCGTTGTGAATTCCCGCCGTTTGAACGCTATAAAACTCACTGCTCTACTATACTGAGTACGTTATTCTGTAGTTATGAATTATTAAAGACGGTTGCTGTTTATTAACCTATCAGCAAGCATTTCTTCCTTGTGTGATACACTTTTGATAGTTCAGCTGAGTTCATCACATAATTGTACTGTTCACAGATAATATACGTGTCAAAGGTTCCTCCTATCTGCCTCGGTCATTAGTGGATCTGGTGTATTTGCTAAATAATTTGATACTTTCGGTCAACATCATGGCTGAACTTCGTAGCTCGTAACTGGTAAAGTATCCTAAAAAGCTCAAGTGCGGGTTATTATTAGGTCTGAAAAACGAATTCATGAAAATTCTCTGAAAATAACATTCATAAGCAGAATTCTGTTTATGTTACATCAAGGAAATTACAAGAAATAAATAACCCACTTGAAAGATATAAATCGGGAGTTGATGATTTGAACAGAAAGATCAAATAAAATGTATTTTAATAGCTTTTGATTGGAATTTTCTAAAATTATTACAAACACTCAATCCGAACCAATATAAATTTCCTATAGCTAGTATCTTCTTTAAATGTAAGGAATAGAATCTCTCTTAATAGGTTATTACCTAGCAAGATTAAAGTTTATTTTCTTTGCAATTTTATTAAATTTGAAGTATAAACATGGGTTGGGACACACAAAAAAAAAATAGCAAGCCAGCCTGATATTCTACTACAGCCTGTCTCGCACTAACTTCATCAATCACATCTACAATTGCTACTCCTTAGCATTATTTGTGATTCCTGATTGTATCTATTGAATTATTTGTATGTAATTTCTGTTGAGTTACTACTCCTGTATGTTAATATCATTATCACACAAAAATGAACTAAGATAAATAATCTACAATTTTAACTTAAAATACCAATCGGTTTATTATAGAAATAGCATGTCCAAATTCCTTCAAAGTCGACTTAAGCCCAGTACAAAGAACTACAAATAATTGTATTGATAAAAGTAAACTTTAGAATGCCAGTATTATTTTGGATGATAGTTTAAATGATGTTCCAAATCATAAAAAATACTTTCTTGTTATGATTTATGTTAATATTAAGTAAGCAGCTGGCAGTTACGCATCTGAAATTACTAATGTCTATAAGCAAAGGTTGACTACTGACCAAAAAATAGGAATTGTAGACATTGTAGACATACAAGGCTGCATAAAGTTAGTTAGTAAAAAATTAGTATTGAAAAACTTCTCAGAGCACACTTCAATTTATTGTTGATTATGAATAGAAACACAAGTTTAACACGGTTTACTTAAAAAAGAAAAACATTATATTTTTAAGCAGAGATTAGATTTCAATAAGACTAATAAAAAATAACTATAATTTATTACATTACACAAACAAAAACCTCTTAAAACACACTTCTTTTGAAATGCCAATTAATAATGTTCTCACATTTAACAAAAACTTAATAGAGTCACCTAATTTTTATAAAGGTCAGTCTTTATAATTCATCAACAGATGTACATAAACTAATGGTTTTATGAAGATATTCTGATATAAGTTAAACACATGCATCTCATTTATAAACACAGCATGGCTTATGTTTAAACACTAACAAGATGTTCTATAAATAATGATGTTATATGATGGAACATTTATTATGATATGTTGATTAATGGGTTGTAAACTGCGTTGAAGCATTATTGCAAATAGTTTCCTGATTTTTATTGTTCCATTTAACAGTGGCATTAAAATTTTCTTTTAAAGCTATACAGACTTAGCTTAGGCATGATTAAAAATATTATGCAAGTAAATATATCATGAATCTGTAATTTTAAAAACACCTGGAAGAATGTTTTTAACTTGACTTTTATTAGGGTGACCTGTATTTACGCACATAATAGAATGTTTCAACATAATTTCTACCAACTTAAAAATGTCTCATTTACTTAAAAAAATTCACACATCTCAAGAACCAACGATAATACAAGAATTTTACTACTTTGGCCTAAGATTCTAGCAAGGATCAACCTCATAAAAATATTACTGGAATTTTTTTGTTTAGCTCACTATTAAATCATCTTTTTTTAAAAAGTAAATTTACATTTTTTATTCAGTTAATTGTGCTTGGGACATTAGTCTATAACTAAGTTATCATCTCAAATTTAAGTAATAATTGTTGGTTTACTTTTTATGCTATTTTGTTAGAAATCGGCAGCTTGGCCTGTCTTCATTTTTGGGAATAGTTTCTTTGCACCTTGAAAATTTTGATATCCAACAATACTATATTTAATTTTAATTATTATTGTATAAATATATATATAAACTATAACTCATTATATCAATGACAAAAACATGATGTTCGCAGAAAGGCCAACTCATTTTTTATTAATTTATAGTACCTATGAATTTAATGATTCAAGTACAAACTGCAGGGATTTAGAGATTACCTTTTAAGTATTTGAATTTGGAATCTGTCATCTCAATGTTCACCTCTGCATCTTAATTATCAATAAATTAACAAATCTTAATCTTTTTCACTGTTTGAAGATCTATAGCTTTCCGATTTTGTGATTCGATAATACGATGCTCTCCTTAATTAAAAAAAACCTTAATGTTGACTGAGACTTTTACTGAACACAGTGAAAAATGAAAATTTTAATTACGAATTCTACTGTAATACTGAACTTACTGTACTGGACTCATAAACTTTACTGATTCTTTATAGCTAAAGTTCGGTAAGTTAAAAAACAATACAAATTGTTTTGTCAAACTTTGAATAGTCAGTAGTTACAGTAAAATTTTTCGATAACCTAAGAGACAAATCAATTACACTCGAATCTTCAACAGAAATCGTACGCTCCTCCCAACATATGCACTATTTATTGTTTTGTAAACGCGTGATTAAATCATAATGTGAATGTATTGACTTTAACGGCATTTGTTTTTTTTATAAATTAATTTATATCGAAGTATACATAAAACAAATACATACCCTTAATAGTACACCGATGATTTCAGTGTTCCCAAAAGTCTTCCAAAGAAAAACATTATCACAAAAATAACACACAATTCACAGGCTTCACAAACACATAATTTATTTTAAAATGTTTTATCCACACCCGCGCAAATCCAAAATTTTAGTTGCTTATTGACATAAACACAAACTGAGCATCCGCCATATGCAGGTACGTTTCGTACATAAGCTATTCTGTAATTATTATTCTAGATGTTTGAATTTAAAGACTTTGTGTTCCCAATTTTTCACTTATTCACCCACATAAAACATCAATTATGAGGTTTTATCTTAATTTTTTATTGGTATTTACTTTATATAACGACGGACACAAAAAAAAATTAAGGTTCTACATTAAATTGTTTTATTTAGTACTCTTCAACTTTTCGCTGCGGAGAAATATTTCGCCTAACGTTATTCTCAGAACGCAACTCTACTTACGTCACACTTCATGTTAATGTGTGAAGCGTACGAGCTTCACAACGCTCCAATCCCGACGAGCTTTGATTTCGATTTAAGGAAGAGTGTAGTTGCAAGGGTAACAAGGACAGACAACATTGTAGTCAACGGCCTCTGTGAACTGTGAAGCAATGTGAGGACACTTTCGTGAAACGAGCTTTTCACAAGACCGTGGCCTCACTCGTAGCATTATAGGAAGTTGTAGTGAAAAATGAAGTTTCATTCGTAATTATATTATAAAAACTTCATTCATCGTGCGCTATATTCAGATACATAGACAACTGAACTGAACTGCAACTATTGGTTGTTCTGATATAAATTCTTTTAGCAAATTTATACTTTGCAGCTCGTGTACATACGTGTACATTAATTTACCCAATACCTAAGTGCAATGCATCTGCACTAGACTTTAAACATATAACAATATAAGCACCCATTGTGATATTTACATGAAAGTAATGTAAAAGTGGGCGATCCATTTAAAAGTTAATATGGATAAAAATAATGTTTCTATGTTCGTGTTTTTATTAGCTACAACTGTAACAGTATTTTCAAACTGAATGATCTTCCTTCTACGGGCTACTTAACATTTACCTAAATTGATGGTCAAAGAATCTACCATGTTAATAGTAAATTCGACTACCTATGATGTATACATGTATGAAACTGAAAATTATTTCCATCACTCCGTACGTAACCTTCTCTTTTAATTGTTACTACAGTTGTGTAAGTTTTAGCCGCGCAGCAAAAATTTCTGGTTTCAAGGGTAAAAGTAATTTAATTCAACTGGATTCTGACTTCATGTCTCCAAGTGGACGGCATTAATGTTTTTGTGGTGTGTTTTTGCATTACTCTCCTTCCCGCCTCGAATTTCTTTAACCAACCAACGATCGAGAAAAAATCTAAAACAGTTACACGTTAAAAAAAGTCAATTCAATCAGTCGTTCGTAGCCACAAAAGTTTTTGAAGTCGTCGTGGCCTAACGGATAAGACGTCCGGTGCATTCGTGTTGAGCGATGCACCGGCGTTCGAATCCCGCAGGCGGGTACAGATTTTTGTAATGAAATACGTACTAAACAAATGTTCACGATTTACTTCCACGGTGAAGGAATAACATCGTGTAATAAAAATGAAACCCGCAAAATTATAATTTGCGTAATTACTGGTGGTAGGACCTCTTGTGAGTCCGCGCGGATGGGTACCACCACCCTGCCTATTTCTGCCGTGAAGCAGTAATGCGTTTCGGTTTGAAGGGTGGGGCAGCCGTTGTAACTATACTTGCGACCTTAGAACTTGTATCTCAAGGTGTGTGGCGCATTTACGTTGTGGATGTCTATGGGCTCCAGTAACCACTTAACACCAGGTGGGCTGTGAGCTCGTCCACCGATCTAAGGAATAAAAAAAAAAAAAAAACTGCTAAGGAGTAACATTAACTATCATGACGTCACATGTAACTTAACGTGGTGTTTACGTGAACAATCTATGGTTATTTCGTCATATACTTTGACCCCAAATGACGTCACCCCTAATACAGTCGCATTCAATAGAGTTTTGTAAAATTTACGTGGTCATTTTTAAATAGAAGAACTGCCTGTTAATTGTGTAAAAAGCATAAAAGTCGTGCAGTACCTTAGAAGATTTACATAGCTTTTCTCTTCTTCATCGTTCCCTCACTGCTGAGGATCGCTACCACATGTGACTTTCCTCCATAGTATTCGCTCCTGGGTGGCATGGACCACATGGTATAGACTACCACCAACCGCTTTCTTAACCACATCTTACCATCTGGCTGGTGTTCTGCCCACGGCGCACCTGCCTTCTATGCGACCCAAAATTATGAGCTTTCCTAATCCATGCCTAGGAAACCGTATGATGTGTCCGAAGAAGCCCATTACACGTTCTTGGCAGATCCTTTTTTGGATGTTTAGCTCCATGTTTCGGATACCTTTTACATAAGATTTATTACATTAGGCTAGTTGAAGTGGAAATGCTAAGAGCTAGTCTTATTTCGATTATTTAATTTCTAAATCACAACCAGTCCTATTGCTCTATGTGAAAAATATATTCATTTACTCATTTTTATATATCTAAATGGGCACACACAAACAAAAAAAAACTAAACTATATTAGTAACCAACGATGGAACTATCGCACCTAAGATAAGAACATAACTTAGACCCTCCTAGAAATAAACTTTAATCATAGAAAGAGGGGGCTTTAAATTTCCAAAGAAAAATCTTAGAGGGTGATTCCGTTCCTATCGAATTTGAGTACATAGCCCCCGGGGGAAATCCGTGTCGGGGCAGTCGTGTCTGCAACGAACATTAAACTCTGTAAAGCAATGGGCTCAAAGGGAAGATGTATCATGTAAATTATTGACCTGTAATATGAGATGTTCTTAATTAAGTAGTAACGCGGTTCTTGTATTAGCGTAAAACATAATTGGTCGTACACCGTAACATGTCAGTCAGATAAACTCAAATAAATCTTATTGTTACCGGATTCAGTTATACAGAAATCACCTAAAGAGAACCAGAGAAAAATATACTTTATACTAAGAACCAAAACGCTTTCTTTAAACGTATGTACTTTGCGTTGAAATCTTATAATATTTATAACATTAACAATTATTTTCTTTGAAAATAGAAATTTTGAAACTTTTTTATATACTTACCAAGAAATAGGTGGCTATACTTACATCTTATATTCGAATATCAAATGAAGCAGTTACTCAGCAAAAACAAATTACTCACACCCCTAACGTAATAGAACCCCCAGTATACAGGAACCCCACGCCTCTTACTCTAAAGAAACGCATACAAACTTTGTTTACACAAATGGGACAGCGTGTAGTAAGTTCATAGAGTGCAACCAATATTGCGAGGAAGTGGTTTTCAGACGCAATTACGAAGCTCGTCGCGCCGACATGCCCCAGGGACAGTAGGGACGCACCCTTTCCACCCGTCCGTGTGCTATATAATTAAAATATTATAAATGAAACGTATGACGTTGCTATTATAAATTTAAAACTAATAAACAGACAAGGTTATTAAGAAGTTTTCTTTGGTTTTCATTGTTTCATTTTTGTTATTTTCATATTATGGCAATAGAAATCATTGTTATGCTGATACCTACATCGACGAATAACCAGTTCCTAAGTCCTGAGCTTAGATTTATATTAGGGTATTTATTTTGTATAAAGGTACGGTATTTCGGATAATCTGTGGTGATGATACCTACTAAAATTTGCTACTGGCCATTAAACGTTATTAGAATTTTTATTTTTTTTATTGTTTAGATGGGTGGACGAACTCACAGCCTACCTGGTGTTAAGTGGTTACTGGAGCCCATAGACATCCACAACGTAAATGCGCCACCCACCTTGAGATACAAGTTCTAAGTTCTCAAGTATAGTTACAACGGCTGCTCCACCCTTCAAACCGAAACGCATTACTGCTTCACGGCAGAAATAGGCAGGGTGATGGTACCCACCCGCGCGGACTCACAAGAGGTCCTACCACCAGTATAAAATTTTTCGGGATTAATTTTTAATAAACGATGCTCTAGGTACGGTACTTCTTATTCGTTGAATTCGTTCCTAAATACGCGTCAATAATTATTTCCTTACTAAAAATAGGTATTTGAACATAAGCATAGTTTCATCGCTTAATACATGTAGGACCACCGGGCACCTTATCCTTTAGATAACAACGACCACTAAAATTCGAGTTCGTTAATAGTACAGATATGTAGTAATACGTGTTGTTCCAACAACTATATACGCTGGAATTACTTTTATAACTAAACTAGTTTGTTTCATATATTCTTTAACGCAACCCGCTGCATCGTTAATAAATCTAATTAAGATGCTATTATATAGATACGTTGGGAATAAAATTACATAAATGCTTTATCGGCTTCTAGATCGTTCTATCTAGCTTAGGAAGCACTATTTATTTAATAAAAAAAATTGTAGTATTGTAATATTGTCGTGAATTCTCACACAGACGATACTTCCCCCGACCTATGATTGCAGTAACGAAACCATGCAATTGTTTCATTGAAAAATTAGAAATCATTTTTTTCTTTTTCTAGACCATTAATCACTATATGTATATTTGATAATTTAAATTAAAACAGACAGATTACGGCATTCTATGGAAAGCAGCCGATTTTTTTTAATTGCCATCAAAAACAAACGCTCTGAGAGTCCATCTAGTATTTAAGACTAAAGTCCAAAGACAAGGCATAATAGTTGCCTTCCTCCTTGAACTAGAATAGCTGGTAGGACGTACCCAAGCACACAATACGCCCTACCACCACAAATAAAACGGCCACAAGACAAAAACAAACGAATAATAATATATCAGCGGTTTCGACGGATTCTAAAATAGCAGAACACAATTCACTGATCAAAGATGGCCGCTCTTAGCTTCACGTTCAACTGGCGAAGTGGGTAAGCGGGTCTGGAGAAGGGAAAACGGGAACGGGATGAGAATTTATTTCGAGCAAATCGTAGTCAACGCCATTTTAAAAATATGACAGTGATGATAAAAATGAAATAAGAGTGTGGACTTTTTAGATTTATTTATTTATTGAGAAACAAACTACATTGAAATTTAAATACATCCCTGCCACTAATCAGCAATGGAATTTACAATGATATAATAGTTAAAACGAATTACATATGTGATAAAGA